TGCATGAACAAGCTTCTCAGAATCTCGCTGGCTCATTAGAGGTCAAACCTTAGCTATATTGTGTAAGTGATAACATGCAGTTTTTGTTAATGAATTAAAATGAGCTTTAAAATTCAGATCAGAATCTAAAATGACACCCAGATTTCTTGGTACAATAATTTTGGTCTCTATTGCTAACTTCAACATTCATGACAACTTTACAGGGGGTGAATTTTTATATAATTGATGCATTCACATTTTAATGAGACTTAATGTAAGGGTGGGGCCACTTGAGTGACAAGATGTCTGTGAGGCGTTGCTAAAGTCTATGAGTCAGGTCCACCCCTCTCCACATCTCAACACTCTCATCCAACCCAGCCAACATTTGTATGTGGGGCCCATGTGGGTAGTAAATGGGCTTAAAAATAGGCCCTATATGGCACTGTTCACGGATTCCATATTTACCCCATGCCAATTGCCCACATGTATGGGTTCACCCAAGTAAGCCCCTGATAAGATGCCCATTTTGGGCCCATCATAGTTGCTATAGCCTTAGCATTACTGTAGTGGAGCCAGTTATTTGCATGGGGTCAATATGGAACCCGAGGACCATTCCATATAGGGCCCATTTTTCAACCCATTTCGTACCCACATGGGAAATATGGTCACTTCTGGCTCCATAAAACAAGATGGCGACAGCAGAAATGCTGAACTTGAGGCTTCAAAATGGGAGTCCACAAACCGATGGGTAATATCACAGTAGCTACGTCTATTATCTATACAGTCTACAAGGCAAGTCCAATCTGTGCTCAAGGTTTTAGGTTCCTTAGCTGGTGTTGTGTTGAAGTCTGTTCCTCCGTTGATTGGCGTTACCTGTATTACACAGCGACATACCTTTTCTAGCTTTCCCGCCTTCAATTTGAATCTCAGATTTTAGGGAAATGCACAGCTAGACGTCAGTATAGTCAAGGTCAGATATTTTAGGGGGCATAGACATTAAAGAAACACATTTTTTAATGGAGGAAACAACAGATTGGAATACTTCTGTCACTGTGGCTGAAATGCTACTAAAATGTACATTTGTATGCATACTGGTTTATTCCTAATTTTTCCTACTCTGGGTCGCAGGGTGGCAAAGTAAACAGCAAAAACAATCCTTCATCCAGTCCAAGCTTCTGTGGCTGATATGTCCCAGACACAGAATCCCTGCAAGGCAGAGGCAGAACTGGAAAGTCACGCAGAAGTGAATCTGTCCTCTGGGAATCAGGCGAGTCTCAGTAAAAAAACAAAAAGAATATACAAAATAATTTTTTTGAGGACATTTCTGCCTCATCACATAGAGCCCGGCGAAAAGACGGGACGTCCTACAGCAAGGACTCACGTTTTTAAATCCACGATGTGCCGAGGAGAGTGCTTTCACCTTAATATTACTGCTCCACCCTGATATTGCGCATTATGAATCATTTCATTGTAAACATCCCGCAGTGGTGCTCCAAATTCCAGATTTGGTACAACAGCCTGAAGTGGTTTGTGTGTTGAAAGCGCTGCCTTTGTACAGCGTACTACTGAAGCTATTCTGGTGGGAAAAAGCACATACACTGGCAGCAATATCACAGTCAATGTTTTATAATAGGAACAAGGCAGGGGGAGTAATACATCCATAAACCCTCCCTCTCTCCTTCAAACAAATGTGTAAGTACACAGGGACACATGCACATGAACACTTGCACACACACTCAAGTATCCCTCTCAGCTTGCGTTGCACCTCTCTGATAGAAAGATGTCTCACTCCAGGGGTGCAGTATTGCATTGTCAGAGGTGTGTGACAGATATTAATGTCATGGAGGAACATGATGGATGGAATTCCTTTATGATGTTGCTTTCTATCTCCGGCTCTGTCTCCCAGAGCCTGGCATGCCGCAGACAGCCCTTTAATGAGCTCTGGAAGCATCCATATCCGCTGACAGCCTTTCCTTAGCGGCCTCTTTGCCTAAAAACGGTCTGACGGGCACTGACTCCGAGGGAAATGGGGGAAGTCTTCGACAGAACGCTCAGACGTCTGGTGCACGACAACAGGAAACAGAGTGGACAGTTTCCTGTTAATTATGAATGAGCATGTGATTGTAGAAGTTTAACATGTTGTATATAGACAGAAAAAGGCAGGGCAAATTACAACCTCACCTATATCATGTGTCATTTTTCATTATAATATCTCAGCCCTGCTTCACATTCCCATGATGACAGGAACATATGACAGAGCTCTCTGATGAAAAATGATGACCCCGCCCGTTCATTTATTAGACACAGATAAGTATCATCATGTGTATCCTGTCTCTCTCTGTCTTGCTCATATCACACCCCATAATATTGATTTTGTAATACTCTTACGCCGGCATTTTATCCATAATTCATGTTAATTATGCCGAGAGAAGATTGTGAGACTGCTGGGTGATAGACAGTGTTTATAATCAGTTGTTGTTAAGTGTTGTCTGTACTGATTACCTGTTCATTAAATGAAAATGGTTACTGATTAGAAGAAACCGAAATTGTTCTGCGGCTGATTGCTACCTGCGATGCTTCTAAATATAGGCAACTGCATCTGACAAACATGTTTACATAAATACAAACATGCTGATTTATATAATTAGGTCCTTCAGAGAAAAACAATATTACTGTACATGACTTTTGTCTCTATTGTTTTCACTGTGGCTGATTATTACACGAAGGAATCCAACATTTAGAAGCTCTTTACAAAGATTCTGGTGAGCCAACGTGAGACAAACTGCAACTGCAGACACTTGAGGCAAAGAAAGAAAGATAAAAAAGTTTTAAAGTAAAAAAAAAAAAAAAAAGGGTGTGTTAATGTGTATAATTACCAAACAACTTTTACAGCGCATCATTACACTGGATTTAAAGTGTTTATTCCTTGTGAGCCCTAAAGCAGTCATTTCAGGATTCTTGCTGCTGCCTCTGCAGTTCTACAGTAAAACTGAGCTGACACCTAGTGGTGGGAACAGTCACCAGCTGCTGCACAGTGCTTTGCTCTTTTACCTCAAGGTACTTTATTGATCCCAGTAGGGGAGTTTTATCCTGTTTGCCACCCTCCAGGGTGATCAGAGGTCAGGATTAATTACAGAACAGCTTCCCTGATCTTGTCGAAGGACAAATCAGCAGGGCTCGATGAACCCTGGTTCTGCGGTTGAAGGACGAATCCCCCGGCAAAAACGCCCCCCTGGTGCCTGAGGAATCCAGCTCTGGTTACCGCATGTAAATTAACTGTTCTTTTACCGTTGCCACTGCTTAAAGCGTTTCTGCTTCATTATAGTTTGAACATTAATGGTATAATGACATACAGCACAGTTTTATAAATGCTGAAAACATAATTGTCTGTATTAGGGATTGGACTAGTCTGACTGGGTTGCTTATGAACACTGTCAGACACACAAACAACTCTAAGGCTCAGCCTTAGAGATAGGGTAAGGAGCACAGACATCAGGAGGGAGCTCGGAGTAGAGTCGCTGCTCCTTCGCATCGAAAGGGCTCAGTTGAGGTGGTTCGAACCTTTGACCAGGATGCCTCCTGGGCACCTCCCGTTAGAGGTGTTCTGGGCATATCCCACTGGTAGGAGGCCCCGGGGCAGACCCAGAACACGCTGGAGGGATTACATATCTCATCTGGCCTGGGAACACCTTGGGGTCCCCCAGGAGGAGCTGGAAAGCATTGCTGGGGAGAGGGACGTCTGGGGTGCTTTGCTTGGCCTGCTGCCCCTGCAACCCGGCCCTGGAAAAGTGGATGAAGATGGATGGATGGATGGATGGATGGATGGATGGATGGATGGACAGAAAATAGTAAGGTTGACATAATGTAGATTTCGTAAGAACGCAGGGGACATGTCCAAGTGGCAACCTTGGGGGCTAAAAAATGAAGCCAAGACTGGCTCCGAAGCTCTGAGTTAATCCTCATAAACCCCCACGTGCCCAACTTGTCCAACTTTACAGCAGAAATTAATGTGTTTACAGCCTGTTTACATCCGTTTACATTTAATTGAGACTTAAAGTTCCACATAGTTAAGGAGGCTACAGTCTTTGAGTCAGATCCACCCCTCGCCTCTCCACAGCTTCAACTTCTCATCCAAATATGGTCACTTCTAGCTCCAACAAACTAAGATGGCGACAGCCCAAATGCTGAACTCAAGGCTTCAAAACGAAAATCAACAAACCAGTGGGTGACACCATGGTAGCTGTGTCCATTATTTCATACAGTCTATGGATACATCAACCTAAATAGCATAGCATAGCAGAGGACTTTTATTGTGACAAAGTTTAAGACATCTCCACCATTAATTGATGCTGAAAAGGCACAAATTAGTGCATAAAAATTCACCAGAATGCAGAGAATGACGTGAATAATGCCAGTGGAGCTAACTTGATATCACGTGCGATAACAGCCTATTCAGTTGTGAGCACCTTAAGATGCCATGTCAACCGTACTGTGTTCCACTGTATATTTTATACTGGAGATGCTATTATTATTATCATAACATTATTATTCTCATATTAAGTTATAGTTACTTAAGTTATGGCTTGCATTGCAATGTGTTTTTTGCTATGTCATTGAGACATAGGCCACACTGAGTGTTGAGTTATAATCAGTACTTTACACTGGAATTATAATTCCTTTGTTACTCTAAATACTCAGATTTAAACATCTGCACAAAGTTGCACATCATATTTCACTTCGAATGATTAAATGGTGTTGACCAATCAAAAATGCTGCTAAAAGTTCTGTGTGAAAAAGTTTAGACAAAAAGAAGAAGGTTATGTATTTCTTCCTTCATATTTGTTTCACGATTTGAGCATGTTTTTTAGATGGCTAGGTTAAACAAAGTGCATTGACACAAATGTGTTACAAACAGCTTAGTTGTTTACGAGAGAGAAGAAGACAGTATTGAGATTGGTTTCAGTAGTGGCAGATAGTCAAGGTGGCAGTATCAATATCAGACACAAAACAATTCAGTTTCGGTTTCAGTTTATTTATTTACAAAAGGACAGTACACATTAATCAACAGTGTTACTGTAAATGTGCCAGTTTTAGCCAGCCGGCTAATTCGCAACTGCAGTCCTTTGGCAAGATGTTATAGAGAACCACAAACCTGAAAGATAAATATATTAAAAGTAGACAGCATCATAGTATAAAATAACAATGACATAACACAAAACAGAATCCAGTCCATCAATGCACTATAGCCATATTGAATGCACAACACAATGACAAATAAGGTGTAGAAGCAGAGCAGCACAGACAGTACATATCACGAGCAACATAGTAGTAGAAGCATAGTAGCACAGATAGCAGCAGGCGCAACAATTCACGAGTCATGCAGAAGCACATAATAGCAGAAGAAAGGCAAGCAGCACATAATCAGCCATGCAAATCAGAAGATATACAGAGAAAGAAAGTTAGATGCAGAGCTAGACATGGCGGGTGACAGAGACACAGTAAGAGTCCATTGGGATGACAATACATACCAAAACAAAGCATAAAAAACTATACAAAAAGATTGATATAAAGACAATGGTTGTGAAGCAGGATTCAGATGCAATGACCAATAAAATGTAGTTACACCATGGTGTGGGTGAATACTCGATTATAATTGGATGCAGAGAGTCCGTTAAAAACTGATCGTGGACACCTACTAAGTAGTTCCGGTGAAACTGCTCACTAAATTAAGGCACCGGCTAAATTAAAGTGTCAGTATCTGTAATCTGTTTACAATTAATAATAATGATAAAAATAAACTTTATTTCTATAGTGCTTTTCTAGCCAGTGTTACAAAGTGTTTTACATTATAATACCATACAATATGAAAAACAAAGAAATAAAAGAGTGTCATTCACAGAAAATGCTACTAAAGAATTATTCATAACTATAAAATATAATATATACATGTACACGTATGCCCATACATACACATATACACACTTACAGACATATACATACACGTCTTTAAACATACATACACCTATAGGCTTTACATAAGTACACACACACACACACACACACACACACACACACATACATACATGCATACACACATACTAGATCACACATTATTATATAAATGCCAGTCTGTACAGGTGGGTTTTTCACAGCCATTTAAACTGAGGAACTGACTCAGCTGATTTGATGTTAAGGGCGAGTTTGTTCCATAACTTTGGAGCTAAAATAGTAAAAGCACGATCGCCCTGTGTTTTAAGCCTGGACTGTGGGACTTTTAACATTTGCAATAATTGCAATGAACTTCCAACAGTGAGAGTCGATGCCTCATCCTCTTTACACCACGGGAGGGAAACTTTAACAGACTTTAACTTTTGCTTTTAACACACACTGCAAGTAGCTGCTGCACTGGCTCTTTGAACTTAAACACTCAACCTCATCCCACCCACTGGCCAACTCACTACTTCAGGCTGCAGCCGACATTAACGTTACACATGGCGTATCGTTTGTTCGTGAAAATTTTGATATTGATTTGGGGATAATGACTGCCTGGATAGCTGACCAGTCTGGTTTTAAAATATACTGTCAAACTATATTTGCTGTTTGTCAACTGTGTGCAATGTTGCTGGAATCTTGCTAGCATAACATTAGCTTTGTGGCTAATAGCTGGGCAGACTAGAATATCTCCCATTGCTAGGTCGTATCTAAGGTTCGTCCTATTTACTAGAGATGTGAATAACGTTTCTATTGCATAAGAGGCAATGGTTTTTCCAGGTATTAGGTAAACCCTCAGGCGCTATCAAGTTACCAAAAAGCACAAGCATAAATATGAATGAATATTTTTACTTTTTTTTTTGGTAAATGACTATAAGGTATAATAGTATAATGCCCTTCGTGGCGTCCATCATCACTTTTTAATTGCCTTTGCAGAGGCAACTTTCCGCCTTCACGTCGGCCATTAAAGTGATAATGGACATCTCGCTGGGCATTATCCCTGACATGTTGGATAGCCAGAGGGATACACTCTGTATCAGAGGATATACAAGGGCACTACCAAATGTTCCACTGTCAGCCCTTAGAAACACAAACATCATTCATACATTTTGTTTACAAAGAGATGAGAGTGATGAATCATGGAGAAAAAATGATGAAACACAAATAAAACCCCCTAATTTCTGTCCAAAACTGATTCTTTTTAAATGTGTTTCTGTCTTTGTGTGCTCAGGCTGCTTAAAATATAGAGATGGTGCTGGAAACAAAGATGAACCTTGACATAACACAAGAGGGCGCTATAGTTCTACAGGTGATCTTGCTGTTCTTTGAGCCTCATGTGCTCCATGTTGTTGATCAGAAACAACAGTGTTTCACAGGCTTCTCTGTTTTATGTTGTGTACGCTGCATTCTGTTATGTACACAGCTGAAAAACAATATGTATTTTCATAGTTCCACTAAAAATAGTTAGCACACTGTTGAAGCGTTTTCTCTAGCCGTTCTGTGTAGTCTGAAGGAGATCCAGGCATTATGGATTCTGTACCCAGGCTGAGAACAACCCCCCGCTCAGTGGAGGTCAGTAAAGCGTACAACTATTTCCTTTCTGCAGGATATTAACACCTGCATATCTGTCCATCACAGGCCTCACACCTCAACAAGTGAAATCATCCACTTCCTGTGAGCGCCCTCTCGCTCACCTCCCCGCTTTATTGTTCATCTCTGATGTGTGACGGCGTGCATCCGAGAATGTCTCTGTGCTGACGCATGATTGGTAGAGCCCCCCTGCTGCGCCCGTCTCCTCCAGGAAGTAGGCATTTCTGCCCAGTTCCTGTCTTCCTCGCTGACCCCGCAGTCAAACATGTGCATATTTACAGGCATGGGAGCGGCGGGAGAAACACTTTAAATTCAGATAGAGGCTGAGCCTAATGGCTGCATCGGAGGGACAGTGATATCTGTTGATTTCTGTTTGATCGTACCAGGAAGGCATGGAAAGAGGAGAGATTATGAGTAGGAGAGTGGGAGCATGGCAGGACTGGCATGGCTGTCAAAGGGAACTGCTGGGAGAAAGGGGTTAGAGATTGTAAGAAAAAAAAAGTATTACAAAAGATTCAAGGAAATATGTGTGGAACTGCAAGATGGAGTAGGAATAGGAGGCTGTAGGAGTGTACAGTTATTCCATGTTACGTTCAGCATTAACTGCATCAACTTATCATCTCGCAGACCGATCACAGCCCATAAATGAGAGTCAAGCCTCTCTGTATCTGTGGACCACATCTCCTCCTCTCTTCAGAACCAAAAGTGGGTCCATTCTCTTGTTCTTCGTCCGAGGACGGGAGGAAAGGGCCCAGGCGCTGGAGGCAGGAGGGTAAATATTTGTTTTGTGGTCTCTCCGTTGAGCTCCAGACCTCTGTGTGCCTCTTAAGAAAACTTTCTCCCGCACGGGAGCAACCAAAGCAAACAATCCCACATCACGCCGTCTGGCTCGCCGTGGACCCTCGTGTGTTTGTTTGTTCAGACAGCCGCCATGACAGACGGAGGAACACTGGGAAGGAAGAAATCTTTAAGAACGAGAGAGAGGGGGAACAAGAACTGAAGAGGAGGAGGAGGAGGAGGAGGAGGTCAGGCTGTTTCATGAGATAGAGGACTGATGGAGGACTACACCACAGATGGTGTGCTTGTCCTATTCCCAAAAGCTTTGCTCTCTGCAGACAAGGGTCGAACAGTATTTAAAAATAATTCTTTGCATATGTTGTAACCTGCTTGGTGTCTAAAAAGACGAAACGCACCACACGAGGCAACAGGAGTGAGAAGAAATTTAGACAACAAGAAAGTGTCTGAAAGGCAGTTAGGGATGCTTCACATCACCGACAGCTTTATGACAGTATTTTAAGGAGCCTTATCCATGGGCCCTCGTCCTCATGATGCTTGAACAAATATAGTCTTTAAGAAATAGTAACATCTCCGAATAGCTTCTTTGCATATGATGTCACACATCGGTGAGCTGTCCAGATGGAAGGCAGGCAACTGGAATCAAAGACTACCAACACTGCACAAAAGCCTGATTTATGATGTGTAGGGCTGCTCCAGCTGATCAAATTTGGGGAAAAACAAGGGCCTTTTTAAGCACTGAAAACAGTGGGAAGTAAAGGGGACAAGTTAAAAAAAAAAACTCACTGAGAAACAGCGGATCAAAAACCTCCATCTTCAATCTGAAGGAGCGATGTCAACTGATGACATAAGTTAACATTAAAGCATGTTAAAGACCCAGAATTTTAGGAGCATTTCACCAGACCTCAGGGAACAGTTAACCTAGGTAAAAAAAAAAAAAAAAAAGTAGCTAAACTTAGCTAGCATTAGCTTGTAATGTTAGCCTGACAGTCTGAAAATGCAACATGACAGAGTTGAAAATTAAAAGACAGTTTTACTCAAGCACATTCTCACTCTGACCCTGTCACATATCGACGTTCGGTCATGGACTTTCAACAACCAACGCACACAGGGTACCTTGCATGTTGTATGGACGGTCTATTTTCAAAATACACCTCCGTCTCTACAGGACATGTACAGTTTGCATACAGTCTCTTTCAAAATACATGTACTACGTAGGTACAACGAGCAAATTTACTTTTTTTTCCTTCAACAACAAACACACGGTAACTTTTAGCCAAAACACGCATGTGGTTTGGTTTAGGCACCAAAAGCACATGGTTGGGTTTAGAAAAAAGTAACAGGGTTTGGCTTTACAATCCAGTTTATTCTCACTCCAACCTCGTCACATATCGACGTTTGGTCATGGACTCTCCACGTCCACATACGACGTGCAAGGTACCCTGGGTGCGTTGGTTTTTGACATTCTTGGACACCGTGTCAAGTTCTCTTCTTAAAGATACACATCCGCTTTCACAGGAAATTTAACGTTTACATACAGTCTCTTTCAAAATAAACGCACTACGTCAGTACAACTGATCGTGTTCTTTCCTCCAACAGATAACGCATGTGGTTGGGTTTAGGAAAAAAGAACAGGGTTTGGCTTTAGAATCTTACCAGACACAAACACCGCTCTCTCGGGTGAAAATCCGTGTTTGGTGGACCCATCTACCACTCCTCCCACCTGCCCCAGTCAGATTTTCGCTGCCTTATCTTTTGTCCTTGTCTCACAGTGTT